ACATCCGATATCTAGCGCCATATTAGTGTCAATTAATTTATGAGGAGAACAAGATAAGTGCATGGGAAGAGGGTACCTTTCAGCGGACCTGGAAGCCCTCCTGCCCTCCTGTCCTCCCGCCCAATGTGCCATGTCCGATTCCTAATTCACATGTCACGTTCATGTTCACGTTCACGTTTACGTTCACCTTCCGCGGAGTTGGGCCTTTGGAGTTGCAGTTGGCAGTTTGCAGTTTGCAGTTTTTCGGTTGCGGTTGCCGCGGCTGAAGATTTGCGATAAACGGCGAGAACATGGTTACAAGACTCTCGGCCAGAGTTGGACTCCACTCTCAGTGCGACTGGAACCAGAAGACTCGAAGATGGAGTTGCAGATGGTAAACAAAGACGAGTAGCGCTGACTGATCGGCCGACACTCGGACCGACGGAGCGGTTTACACTCATAAAATTAAATCAACAGCAATTTTATAATTTGGCGCATTAAATCAACTGTGGGCCGAGCCCAATAACCATCTCCATCTAGGCTGCCAACTGCGGTCGGGACCTGGGAAACCAAAGAAACCGGGGAAACCGACCGGGCCACGTAGCACATAATCGGGCGCGTGCAATCTTAATGGATAAATTATTGGGAGACGAGGAGAGGTCCAAGCCGCGATCTCCGTATCCCCGGACTCCCAATGGCCGTCTCGGTTTCAGTGGGCCTCTTTCTCTTCCGCCTAACAACAATTGGCGGTGTGTGTGCCCTCGTTATGACATAATCGCTTTTTAACTTAACGGGGCTGCGTAATGTAATAATCATTTATTAATTTGCCAAGTAGCAGGTGCCAAGAGACGAGACGGATCGAGTACGTGCCACAAAACATGGGGCACACACAGATGCAAATCCGTGACACAAGGGAACTCTTAGCTGACGGAGGTTACAGTCTATAATGTGTTAATGCATCTATTATAATAGTTTGATGGCACATTTTAAGCATTCATGTATTTCAATTTAAAGTATTTAAAGGTAATATTAAATAAATCCCTATAAATTTTATAGCTTTGTTAATGGCCTCTGACCACCAGTGCTGTACTTCAATTAGGGAAAATTGCTGGTTCATAGGTTTGGCCAATCCTCGAGTGCATTCCACGTGGAGCGATGCAGCTGCTCCTTCGCCTGTCAATTGACTGTGGAATCGGGCTTCTGGCCGAGGAGTCGCGCCCAGCAATTAACACCCGCGAATCTGTGCCGCTTCCAGCACGCCCTCGACTTTTATTTGCCCAAATGGATAACCTCTAATTTGGCGAGGCTTTTTATTGCCGTATCCCCATCTTCAAGTCCGCAGACTCCCCTGCCCTTCAAGACCCATCGCATGTTCCACTTAATGACACAGAGAACTCAGCATTTCGGTTTCGTTTGTCGGTTTGCTCTGTGATTTCGTTTGCCGACTTCGGCTTTTTGCGGATCTCGGCCGGTTATTGGGCCATTTAACGCCTTTAACGCTGGGCAGTCCGAAAATTGCCATTTCCATTTCATCCAAATGAGGTGTTTCAAATGATTCGTTTGCATTGCCCGGGTCTTCAATTAGCCGCACGCAATCGCAGAGTCAGGTGTCAGATGGCCGCCCCTCGAATGCGAACAAAAAAATCACTTTCGGCATGAGTTTCATTGAGGAGTAAACATAACTCAGAGAGTTAAGATCAAAGAGTGAAAGTTATTAGGTAAGAAACTGACCTTTTGGCACTCTTTGGTAAATAATAGCAAACAACATAGACTATTTGAATGAATGAATGTAATCTGTTAAGTATTTATAATGTTGTCTTTAATAAACATTTTTTTAATGACGCTTAAGCAATTATGATTGTATGATTGTAATAAAAGCAAAGTCAATTTGTATTTATTGTAGAGAAAAGGAAGAAATATGTAACTGAAATTATTGAAGAATAAGTGATATTAAATCTGAATATTCGGATATTGTTTCACAGATGTTGTAGCATATCCTCCACATCCCTGAGTATTACTAGGTATCATATTCAATGACCACTGAACGGATTAAGGCGCCGCCATCACCCCCCCTTTCGCCACCACCCCCAAGAGCCGGCTTTGGAGCTTAATTAATTACCTCAACTTATTTGACAGCCCTGAGCTGAGGCAACTATAAATAATAAAAGATTTTTAATAAATCATTTGGCGCACTGCAAGCGAGGACATGGACATGGTCTTCGACATGGACAATCGAGTGCACTAGGAGCCCTTCTGCCCCTCGATCCTGATCCTTGGACCGGTGCCTCGCATGCGTTTGATAAGCGGACATGGGGCTGCAAGGAAAATAGCTTAATACGCGCCACCAGCTGGCCGCGAATCTAGGAGATATATGGGGACATCCAGGCAACAGGAGGCAGACGCCGGAGCTGCTGGTTTGGTATTTATAGTCGAAAATATGGCCCAAAGGCCGAAATACTCGTACGCAAAAATAAATATCGAAGGATGCCCCGCGCCCTTCTGCACCGGTCACCTTTTCCACTCGACCAATCGAAACTTCATCTACGTCGAGGCACGCACGATCCGTACACTGAGAACAAAGTACTGCACTTAATCAAATTTAAATCTTAAAGTCAAAGTAGGACTATTTTGCTTTGTTTCATTAAATTTGTTTACAAATGTTCCTCTATATTTTAGATTTTGGTTAGATTTATTAGGTAGATTTATGAAAATATATTAAGAATTTAACAAATGTGATTATAATAATTATAGAAACAATAAAACAATTGTGTAAGAATTTAAGTGTAATGTTTCGTTTTAAGGATTTGTTATTTATCCTATGTGGGAACATGTTTTCTAAACACTTTTCGTTCGTCCTACAGCCCAGAAATATTTTTGTCAGTAGTAAAATACGAAGCCACCTGAACTTTTTATTTTTCTCAGTGTAAAGCTCATAGAGGCCCTAGACACAGCTCGTAATTACGAACCTGAAACGCGGCTATATTGGAAAATTCGCTTAACAAGCCAATAGACTGAGTTATGACGGAGCTGCCCGTCTCCGGCTTCTTGGTCTTCCTGCCCGTGGACCATGGCCCATACCCCCGGCCCGGTTTTCCCCGGCTTTCCACGGCCTGCCAGATGGGGCAGCTGTGGCAACCTCCAACGGCAGCAATTTGTTCTTGTTGTCGACTTTGCATGTCGCTGCCTGGTTGGCTGTCTGTCAGTTTGCTTGTTTTGCATGCCATCCCCGGCGAGTCCCTCCAGCTCCTCCTGCTCCTCCGGTCCCGGAAACCCACTCCGGCGGCTGCTTTGGCCTCTCCCGACCAAAGTCGAGGTCCATGTTCGGTTCCATGTAAGCCTGCTGACAAAAACAATGTCAAGAGCCCAGACGCCGCCCTCTCGCCACTTCCGCTTGGCTTTCCTGCATTTCTGGGCCCGGTCAAGTGAGGTTCGCACCACTGGCTAACCAGATAGATTATCTCGCAAATGCCGCGTCTGCTGTTCCATCTAGTAATTACACATTTCCCTAATTGAGCTGAAATTACCGCGGGAACCCGGCGATTGCGAGAAGTTGACTGTTTCGAGTGGCCGAAGGGCCTCCAGAAGGGGGAACTTCAGCTGAGCCAATGAAAACATAGGGTTCGGTACGTAAATGCAAATTCTTAAGTGGAAATATTGAAGAAACAAGGGAACAAAATGAGATCATTTATGATAAGTACTACAGTAATTAAAAGTGTTAAGATATGAATAAAATTAAATATTTAAATTTATTAAGTTGTGTTTGATTTTTACTTAAAGATAAACGTGTTCAGGTATAAATAAAATATAATATTAAAATTATGAAATTTATCAAATATTCAATACATATTCATTCTTTAAAGATGTTTACTTAAAGTGAAAGTAGTACATTTATAGGCATTATAGCTCTAGGTATAATTATAATCATTGTACTTTAAAGATTGTTTGCTATTTTTCAGACAAACGTTTGTGGCACTAAGTAAAACGAATCAAACTGATTGAAAAGCTTCCCACAAAACCCCAGCAATAGTCTCCAATTTAGCCTGCATAAGTACGGCCTTAAAACGGCCTTCGCAGATTGTCCCCATAGATTCGAAAATATTTTACAATTAACCCCTGCGCTATTCGTGAATTTGGTTAACTGTTTGGCATTGTTCGGATCTCCGATAGCCGCCCATTCAGAGGGAGTCGCGCCAAGGCGAACATTTGCAAATGTCATAATTACATGAGATTTGATTAAATTTTTGTCGCGCCGGCAAAAAGTGAATGTCATTTGCAAATCAAACAGTTTTTGCTTTTATTTCGGTTTTTATATTTCGTGCCTGGCATTTTTGGCGACACCGAATCGCATTTACATTCACCTGACGACGACAAAAATCGACACAAATGAGTCGGGCTTGGTGCGGCAACCTGCTGCCACCTGTTCCGCGAATGTGTGTGCAACACGCGGCGCATGATTAATGTGCCAAATTGCAAATTGCAGTGCGGCGTTTAACTGTCAATCAAAGCAGCTCTAAAGCCCGCATTTGATGTCGATACAAGACCTCGACAAACGTGCGTCATTTCATTGAAGTCGCACATGCTGTAAGGATACTGACTATAATGTTATCTATCTTTTAGATGGTGTCATAAGGAAAATGTTTAACATTTGTGGTGTGGGTAAATAAACTAAATAAACCATATTAACCATTAGAATACTTTTTTATACTCATTTGTATAAGTGTTGATTTAAAGTATCCTTATTATGTGCTTTGGTAAAGATCTGTTTTGGTAGAATATGATAAAATGCAAGCCAGAGTTTCTGAGATCAATGATTTCATTTTTTTTAATTGTATTTGGCATCAACTTTACAGTTAAATTGTTCTTAATTATTATTCTCTAAAAAGAAATGATAGGACCTAAGATCCTGTTATATAATAATAATATAATGTTGCATGCAGTTTGATATGAACTATGAACTATGAACTACCCAAATGATAGGACCTAAGATCCTGTAATATAAAAATAATATAATGTTGCATGCAGTTTGATATGAACTAATAAGAGCTGTAGTTATAACATTATGCTTGATTTAAACTAGAAATTTGATGGTCTGGAGCAGATGCTTTCGTTCCTCAAAGAATTTTCTTAGACATTAGTTCATTGAGTGGCGCGTAAACTGATTGAGCTTTGGCTGGCAACCATTGGAAACCTTTCGCCTGCCAGGAAGAACCTCTGTGAGAGGTGGAGGCGAGGCAGTTGGCCCCATCTCACATCTCATATTTCCAGATCGCTCGGATAGGCCGTCATCCTGTGGCAGCCACCGCAACAGTGGCTTTCGGGGGGCAAGTGCCACACCTTTCGGCTCACCTCGAACGGCAGACAATTGGATTTGCTTGCCTGGCAGCGGCAATCAAACGAAATGAATTTTGAATTTCATTAACCAAAAGCAAAGGCGGAAAGATGGCGACAAAATGCGACCACATTCGGGATTATCTCTGCGGTTGTCTGGGATCTGAGCGCTGCTGCTGAGGATCTCTGGAGGTGGAAGCGTTTACATCCAATTGCGGTTTGCCAGTCGGCGGCTTACTATTCATTCCGCTCCAATGGGTCAGAGCTTTGAGCTCCGGCTGACGGGTCTGCTGACAGTTGCATTTGAATGCCGGCCAGCAGCTACTGGAAGTTACAATCCACAATTAATTGAGCTACATTATCAATCAGCGTAAGCCGATCAACGGGGAATGTCCGAGGGATTCCTAGCTGATCCCCTGAGTGGAAGTCGAAAGCCAAAGCCAAACCCAAGCCCAAAACAATCAAAGCGCAGCTGTCACACCTCCATCAAGAGCGATTTCTGTGCGCGGGTGGCGGGGGATTGGTACTCGGTACTCCGAACTCCGTACTCGGAGTGGGGATCTCCATGATCAGCTTTCCGCTGGATGGATGTGACTCATCATCCCCGATTCCTGGGGGATTGTCAACCCGGTGCCTCATTAATTTGCTTCAATGATTCTGCATTGATCGACGGCCGGATAAATCTTATTTCAAGTGAGATTTCCAAAGAAGTTCGTCTCGAATCAATTAACTGCCGGGCTTGCCTAGGAAGGGAACTGCGGGCTGCCAGGGGAGATGCACTCGGCAGACACACCCCGACATGCTCCAAAAAAGTTCTTTAACCTGTAAAAACACTGTGGCCGGCGATCGGCGATCACTAGATCGCTTAATAAGCAGCCTAGCTGTCTGCTCTTCGGGACCCCGAAGATCCCTTCTGCACCATCCTGTTTTGGTCCAAAGCCCCAGCTCCTTTGTGGCTGCTCCGACAATGCACCTGGAAAATTTTTATTATATTTTATATACTCTTTCCAAATAAAGAAAAGTTGAATTCTCTATTGAGTCAATAGATTGGTATTGAAAAATGCAAAGGGTAAAATTTAAATACAGTTTTTAGGGTTACAGAAAATGCCGCCTTCTAATCTTGTATCCATATTTTGACAATGCTTATATTTATAGCTGTATTATGTTTTTAGACTTTAATTAATGTGATAATTAAATAAATATTTATAATTTATATTTTTATTTTGTAAGCCTAGTTTATTAGACTAACTTATAGTTCAGCAAGGACCTAACAAATATTAAGGCTTTAGACTTTAGTGTATAAATATTTTATAATCCCTATTGGTATATAAGTATAATAAAATTAAACAATTTTTCAAGAACTGGTTGGTTAAAATATTTTTTTAAGTATTAATTTTTCTCTGTGCAGCTGCGGCACAGGAATCTGCACCGTTTTAAGCATAAATCCCCGCAGGGCATGCGCCCGATATGCGTTCAACTCACTGAACTTGCCACGACTCCTGTCCCTGCCCCAATCCTCCTGCTCCTTCTGCTGCTGCTGCTCCTGCTCCCGCTTCCTTGGCTGGTGCTGAATCTGCTCCACCTACTTCAACTCCGACATCTCTCGGCTGTTACAGTTTCGCGTTGCGGGCTGCGAGTTGCGAGTTGCCCGCCGACTGGCAAACATATATATTATTTAAATTTTTAAACGATTGATCGTCCTCCGCCTTGAGTGTGTGCCTGCCTGCCCGCCTCCTTCTTCCTCCTGCCGCCCCTGGGATGCTGGGATCCTCCACCTCGAACCCGATCCCGAACCGATCTCCTGTGGCATCGTGATAGTTTGAGTTATTTAGAGCTGGCTGCTTTATTGCTCGGGAGGAGTCGCTGCATCCCCTCTCCAGCTCGCCAGCTCTCCAGGCTGAGGGCGTGTTCAGTTCTGGTCCACTCCGCAGTGCGTTCTCCGTGGCTTATAACAAAATGATTATGTTTTGCATATTGAGTGAAATTTGCATAAATGAGGAGGCCAGCAAGGTTGCAGCCCGGCCAAAACCAACTGAAAACGCTCGTTGCGAAGGGGAATAAAGAAAAACTGAATCAAAATTATATTCCTCTCTCACTGATAAAAAAAGAAATCGGAATTGTGGATGGACTTAACTGCACTCAAATTATGGTCGATAGGGAGTGGGAGTCCCGATTGAATAAGTAATCCCTTTTGGGAAAAGGAAAGTGAGGCAATAAAGTGGATGGGCGCAGTTTGATCGAGCAATCAATGGGGTTCTCAGGGGCAGTCCAGAAAGGTTGTTATGGAGGGCTGTGAAAGGGATTAGAGATAAATATTAAGTTGTTTTTAGGTAATCTTAGTTTGTACCATATAGTATCTTCATCTTTAAGTTCTATTTCACTGAAAAGTGTATTTCCCACCTTACAAAAAACGATAACTATTCAGAGCCCTCACTTATTATGTGTAAATATTGTATCCGTAAGGCCGAATCAGTAAAGCCTACTTCGAGCTCAACATGCAGCGTTAAATTATGCTAATACTTTGCGATCTTTTAACACATTCTCCGGCAGTTTGCTGTTAGGCAGTTAATGGAAAAAACGAGCATACATAATTTGCTGCATGTGTCAATTCTGAAAAAGGTTGCTTCTACTTACTTTCCAGTCGGGGGCCGCTTCTTTTTATTTACCCACGCTCATTTAGCGCTTAGAATAACAATAATTAACATAAGAACAGAGTCACTTCCTTGGAACGTTAGCGTTTCACTGCCTTTATTTTCCCCCTTTCGTGGCCTTTCACGTGGTTCGTGTGTGCTGAACGATGAGCGCTAAAGAAATTAAAATTGAAAATTCCTTTATTTCAATATTTTGACAGTGACTTGGCAGCGCCTCGTTAAGAAAAAACAAAATAAACTCCAGCTCGAGATGGGGGCTCGAGAATTGAATCGAAACGAAACACTTTTCAGTTGTCTTTGCGACCAGCCCCGTTCTGAACTCCGATCCCAGAACCCCGAACCTCGAAGTTCGAGTCTGTATCGCTTTGGCCCGGTCATAAAAATGTGCCAAGTTCCAAGTGACCGGGTTGAGTGGCTGAACTTGTTACAGTTTCTTTCACCAGCTCGTTCGCTCTAGACTTTCTTTGTTGTGCAACTCGATTCTGTTCGCTGGTATGTGCTTTCATTTCGCTGCCAAGAAATGATTGGTATTCTCGGTGGAAGGAAGGCGACAATTGCCATGCGCCAATGCAAATCGCCGATAAGTGCACTTGACTCTCATATAAATTAATATTAATTATGCCACTGATTAGCCAAGCTCACATTCCAGGCGGACAAATAAGCCCACTAACGATATATGTGCCCGGCTACTGAAACTGAATCTCAATCTGAATCCAGTTCCATCGATCCATCGAGCTGCGCACAGCTGAGCTGCAATGCGAATATATTTCGGTGTAAATCATTTGAATGCTTTAAAGGCGCCAATTGAATTTGCTTGTTGAATAAAGCAAATTGAGTTAGGGCTTAGACTGTGGAACTGTGAATACACTTTCGTATTTGTCTATTTTATATTCCGAACTTCTCTGTTGCGTTTTTAATATGAGACAAATCAAAAGACTTAGGACACAAACTGGGAAGTTACTTTTGATTTCGAGGTTTTACTAATAAATTGCAATGTAAATATTTTGGAATGTTAAAAATAAAAATTGTTTATTAGTTAAACACAAATAAAAAATGCTTTTAAATTTGGTAGCAATTTAAAATTATTTTGTAAATTTATAATCTGTATAGAAAATTACTAATAATATTATCATTATAATCCGTCCGTATAAACGCTGAGATCTCGGAAACTATAAAAGTTAATAGGTTGGGATTTGGCATGCAGACTTAAAATTTTTTATATTTGGTAAAAACTTAAATGCGATTTGGTTTAGATTATTAATATCCACGTATAACCCAAAAATTGCTTAAATCGGACTATTCATTAAAAATTGAATGACTAAGCAAATAAAGTGTGAAATCTTGGGAACAGTCGCTTTGCTACTTGCATATCTACATCTCCCTCGCACTCCGCTTAGCTGAGTATCGGGTTCTCTCTTGTTTTTAAATCTTTTTATGATGAACCTATTTTAATTGGTTTTTTTTTGTGTTACCTAACCTTATGGAAATCTCCAGAGATACTTTTATACAATTTTCATCGAATTTCCAGTGGCGACTGACAGGAGTTAGACCTCACTATACCCTGCCACCGCTTGAGATAAGCTCAAGTAAGCTCCCCTCCCCGATTTCCCCGACTACGAATTCGCTTGTAAGTTTGCTTGTCCGACTAAATGCCTCGGTCGCCAGCTGGCCAGGCTGAATCTGAAGCTCTGTCCGTCTTTGGATGCAGTTCGCATTCATTCAATTGCGTTTGACAGGCGTTTGGCCATAAAAATTATGCCACAACAGCTCGGGCTGCGAATTTGCATTTAAGTTTGCGGCGAACGGACATTGGCTCAAATTTATGACAACTTATCGCCCTGGCATTCGAGTCGACTGGGAGCCAGCAGCAGATATACCTATTTATATAGTTGCTGATCCGAAAGGCAGACGCTCGTGGGCGTCGGTGGCGACATTTCGCTTTCATTTGCAATTAGAATATGGAAATGGGAAATGCGCTGAGTGTAAAAATAGATCGAGTCGGCGACTGGCGCCGCTTTCAGAGATCTGTCTATGACTTTGACCCGTCTACACGACTGCACGAGCTGGGTTTCGCTTACCCCGAAACGATGGAGCGGAAAAACGAAAAACAAAGGAAAAGTTTCCCTTCGGCCAGACGAAATTTGTCAAAGTCGATTTCAAAGAAGTTTGTCAAAAGCGGATGCAAGTGAAATCGATACCGCGCGTCTTTGTCAGGGCCGAAAAAAATAAAAATGAAATATTACAATAGGAAGAACAGGCGGCTGAGCTGGGGGAAGGTGTGAAAAGGTCGTCGTGCCATTTAGGGACCGCAATCTTCCAGCGATCTCCGCGAGGGACCCACTCGGATGCACAAACCCCGAGGATTGAGGTGGCGGGGCTGCATCTCGGACGAGTGCCCGACTTTTCAGATATCCGATGCCAGCTGAATTTTAACAGCTCGTTAAACCGAGCCTGTTGTTAGAAGGCCTTTCTGCGATCGCGCAACCACAGAGCACTAAAAACCTTACGTACCAGGGGCCTAAAACTTTTATTATATATGCTCTTATGTGGCTTTTTACTGGGTTATTGGTTGTGTTTTTTGTTTTTTAATTAATTTTTGTAATGTTTTACAAATCTTTAGCAATAGGAATAAATGTTTGTAGCTTTAACGATGAAAAACAGGTCTTAATAACTATATTACGTAATGGGTTTACATTTGCATTTCTTAGTTCGAAATCGCAATGCTTTATAATGCTATAATTCGGCTTTTACTACTTCAATTTGTACTATGCAAATATATTGATGTTTGAACACTTTTAAAACAAAAATAATTGGTTTTAGTATATTTTATTTTTATTAAAAGTATTTTATCTTAAACGTATAATAGATTTAATAATATTTTATTCTGCTATATTTATTTTATAAAATTTAGTAACATTGCCTTAAAAGTAATGTTGAATGTTGGTTAAATAAATACTATTTATATTTATTCTGTTCAGCTGTGGTTCCTCTCTTTCTTCCCACTTCATTTCAATGTACCCTAAGGTTTCCATCTTACCTTACCGAGTAGAAAGTGGACTCTTTTTCTTGGCTTCTGCTGCATTCCCAGACAATCTCCTGCAGGGGAACTGTCGCTCCAGAACTCCCCACAATCCGATCGCCATTCCCGGGAGCCGTTCATCTAATCTGTTTGGTGTTAAGTCCAGGCGAGCATGTGTAATTCGATTGTTTACATGCGAGTGGCTTCAAAACGCTTGGCAAAGTGATGGCAAAAAGTTGAATCGCAGGGGGAGCCGGCGAATTAAATGTATTAAACGAAAGCCAAAGTGGCATGTGCTCGGGTGAAATTTTCTCGAGTGGGAGGGGAGTTCCTGGGGCCGCCCGTCAATCTATCATTTCATTAAATACGACCCAGCCCCCGGTCGTTCTGGTTTGTCAGTCAGTCTCCTGAGAATTGTGTCGCGGCCCTGACGATGACGACGATGATGGAGGCGTCGTCTGGGTTGTCCTGGAAGATGCGTTTCACTCATATCCGGTTAAAAATTCACACCTCAGAACCCGACCGACCAGTGAGGACCACGAGGCGAAGTCGCTCGGGGGTACCGGGGTTCCTGGGATTGGGATTGGGACTGGGATTGGGGTTGAGGTTGGGACTGGGGCAGGGGACTGCACTCTCTTTCTCACCCTCGCTCCCCATCCACGTTGCTGTTGTTGCTGGTGGCGTATTAAATTTCAAGAACTGGCGGGCAAAAAGGGGCAACGGGGCGGGGCGCAAGTAAATGCCAGAAATCTTGCAGATTCGTGGCGTAAAATTATGAAAATTATGTCTGACACATCCTGCTGTCTGCTTAAGGTCTTTGTTTATCCTGGCTGAGCGGCAAAAAAGGAAGCGCCTCCAACACTCCAAACATGCCACAGACAGGTAATGGCGACAGCAGCAGCAACAACAACACCGCCACCACTGGAACCGGTGTTATTTGCATAAGTTGCTCGTGTCTCCGATTCCTTTATGCGACAAAGTTCGTTGCCTAAGTCTTTCGTTTTCTGGATCTTGTGGGATTTGGTAACAAGGAGTTGGAGGGCCCTGTTGGACAATTGAAAGTGAGAAGTGAACTTAGCAGGGATAAATACTTGTTCTTGTGCCCCGATACGAATCAATTAAAATTATATAGAGAGCGCTAAATGCTGTTATGTACCTATATTGATATGGATAAAAATGTAATTACTTTATTTAATTGTCTGTATTGGATTAAATTTAATAATTGACTTACATTTTTTATTTATTTTTAATTGAATGAAGATAAATATTTTATTTATTTATGTGTTTTAAACAAGTTATAGTTAATAGTTCTATTTTATACGAAGTCCAACCTAGACTCAAAGTAGTTAACATTTCAAGTTTAGCTTAATACATTAATACTTATTGCATACTTTACTTCTAAACTAGTTTAGTTATTGGTTTAATATACACTTTTTAATGGTCCACGAGTGACCCTAATCAACAGACAATCTAACACTTATGTTAAGTAAAAGTTCAAAGATATATCTCATATACACTTTAGCCTAAAGTAGTTAACATTTCAAGCTTAATTTACTACTTATGTTATTGTATATTTTAGTTCTTAACTAGTTTAGTTATTGGTTTCATATACATATTTTAATGGTCCACAGGTGACCCTAATCAATGTAAAATTTTGGATATTAAAGCTACTTTAATAATTTTGTCTATTTTCCAATACCTTGCTAATATTTCGTTTCTGAGAAATAATTATGTTTGCTATTTAAATTTGGCAAACAATTCGAG